AGTTTAATTGTTTATTAAGCTTATCATACACATGAGCTTAGCCTTATAATTTTTTTAAACAAAGAACGGCTTTCCTTGTTTACCTATTGAATAGTATCTTATGACTGTTAGCCTTAGGCTTGTATTGTTTAAGTTACAGTATCGTGCAACTGAAGCCACAATCCACATGTTTTAGGTGTGCTTATGGTGAATTTCAATTTACTTATGTTATGATTGAGGAGATAATCATTAAATCTTAATTTGCAGTGCAGTGCAACTTAACATGCAGTTGCATTCACAGTTTTCTCAGTCGTAATGGAGCGGTTTTCAATTGAGTGTCGTAAAACCAAAATCAAACCAATTACCTATCAGTTAGAGTGGTTTTCAATTGAGTGTTGAAAGTAATGAGAGAACTTCTTTGGTTTTGGTTTTGGTTCTGGTTTTACCACAGCTTGAGATTGGCTCGTACAATTTTGAGAGAATTTTTAGGTATCACTTGTAGTATTAATCCTTATGGCACCCGCATTCATACGATTGCGTAACTATACTTATAATCCATCAAATGTTTTGCTCACATGTGATGTGGTCTAATTATATCACATGACTGTATACGCCCAGCTAAAGCTGGGGAATATCTGAGTGATATTCCCCAATGGCTCTAGACCAGCTGGTCACATTTTCATCAACATGTATATGTAGACTGTATTGAGATGGTAAAGGCCCACACCCCTCTTTGGTTTCCATAGCATGAAGCAAGTAGGAGTATGTCTACACTCTCTGTCCCCCAGGGTGGAATGCTATAAATGAAGTCCATGTTAGGGTTACCTCCAGCATTGAATTTACCACTACCATTTGTACACCTGGGTGGAGAGAGGCACGGTGAGAGGAAAGTGTCTTGCCCAAGAACGGAACACAATGTTCCTGACTAGGGCTTGAATGCGGCACACTTGATCTCGGATCTAGTGCACTAACTATTAGGTCACTGTGTCTCCTAGGGGAGTAGGGGGAGAGGATGTGGACACATTCTTTAAATATTGTGTAGCTATATATTATTTGTAATCAAGTTGCAACCTTTCATTAATTTGGTTTTTTTTCCTGAACCAAATAAACTCTGTTATAGGGGATAAAGAGGACGCACTGAAAATGAATGGAACACGGGCAGATCCAAAGGTACATGTACATAACATGTAAGTTAATAACTGAAATCTCAGTTATTCATATACAATTAAGCAAAATGCTATTTCTCAGCCATGAGAAAAACTGACAGTCATCAAATTCAGGTTTCAGAGACACTTATCAGAAGAAAAATGTGTGGCAGTTAAACTGGATCATGAGAGGTCAGTGGAGAAAGAAGGATTTTTTCTCATATAATTATATGGTATAGAATTCAACTGTTTGTCATTACATACAAGGCTTCACTATCACTGCACTGTGCTGTGAATACCGATAGAAATTATTTAAAGGTATGTCTTCATTGGTGGATCCAGGCCTTTAGCTGAGGTTGTGGGGGGGCAGTTTTGTTGTGCTTGCCCTGCCAGCTTTTCTTTCTTCTGTGATTCCTTCTTTTTTTATCCAAAATAAGGGGTGACCCCAGGTCCCCTGGGCCCCTCTCCTAGATCAGCCACTGTGTTTTGAGTGGCATCACCAGTTCGACTTCATGCTGACAACAGGCTGAAAGCATTCTTAAAAGCTAATCAGTGAATATCCCAATTATCTAACCATTGCACAGTACAATGCATGTACCAAGTCATGTTTCAATTTGTACTACATGTATAGGCTGGTCTTAAAGTGGTACTATGACAAAAATTGCATCTCTCCTATCTAAGCCATTTTAAAACATAAAAAAGGTAGTCTGTATGAGAAGAAAAATGCCGTTTGCTATTTTCAAATGTGACTTTTTCTTCCTGAGATATTCAAGTTTTTAAAATATGCAAATTAGCCAAATGATGACGTCATACACTCAACCAAACTTTGATCAAATATGATGAAGAAAGATATCTCAGCCAACTTGTTTCAGAAATGTTTGATTCTTTGCAGTAAGACTCTACTAAGTGTGCTCCACAATATGAGCTTAACAGGGCTTAAATTGGTGATCTGTCTCGCATGGAGTGTTCCACTCTTTTACAGATTATCCTTATGGCTTTGCTTGTTTGTGTATGCCTTTAGACTTAGATTTTACTTGCCATTAAATTGTAATAAATAAATAAATAAATAAATAAATAAACAGTTTTGTTACCATGGTAACATGCTGGGTCCCAGACCTCCCCAATCTTAAAGGTTTTTCTGGCCACTTTTGGCGATCCATTTTGATATTTGCTAAATGATGTCTCATATGCATGTTCCAGCAAGCATATACATATGTTAGGGCAAGTTCATGGCCTCATTTAATGTTTTTCAAGCTCAAAATCACTAACATATTGAAATCAAGTGGGTTGGACTGGAAATGAGTGAGTTGCCACGGGAACATAATTTTTTATAGCTGTAGGTGTGTTTCCTGTAGAACTGTTCGCCTACCAAGTTTCAATGAATTCTGCTGGAAATTGAGCGAGATGGCTCTATTTATGTACTTAACATAATATTGGGTTGAGTGTATGACGTCAGCTGTCATCTCATTTGCATATTTTACACATTTTTCAAACTTAAATACCTCCGGAACTAATGCAGATATTTGAAAATGGTAAATGGCGTTTTTATTCTTTCATGGAATTCTATGTGACACACCTAAAAAATCAAGGGGTAAAAATTTGATCATAGTACCACTGTAATAGTTTAAGCATCTTACGTGCTGCAAGTACAAATACATGATTGTATATATAACTATAAAATGTTTAAGCAAGCAACTATATATATAACTGCCAACTGCCAACTGCCAACTGTCATACCTTAAGCATGAGTCTCATGCCGGGGGGTTGAAACTTTAATCTCATGCCTTCATGTACTTACACCAATTTCTCACTTCTACATGTAGCTGAAAAATTGGAGCTACCATGCATGTACATGTATTACAGCATTAACGGTGACCACCTCAGTTTCAAAACCATATAAACTTGATTGTCAAAGAAAAAGTACTGGCAATACCTGCCAACTCACATGCACTACAATGTATGCATATATGTCACATATTACCGGCAGATTGAAAACGTTGATCACATATGTACAGGGCAATTTCCCACACTTGATTCCCAATTCCTGCTACTTGTTCAGTAACCATTAACATGAAAAATTGAACTCAATTTCCACCCAAAATATTATGTTTGAGTCCTACGTGTAGGTAACAAGCTACTGTACATGTATGCATAATCTCAGCAAGATGGTGACAAGATTTGGTGCTTAATCAAACTGCTACTTTGGGCAANCCACCCAAAATATTATGTTTGAGTCCTACGTGTAGGTAACAAGCTACTGTACATGTATGCATAATCTCAGCAAGATGGTGACAAGATTTGGTGCTTAATCAAACTGCTACTTTGGGCAACGTTTTAAATTCATTGGAACATCTTTGGAAATTTTCAGCAATGTTCGGAATGCATCGCAATGTCTTCAGTAATGTCCAGAAGTCATCACAATTTTTTTTTGAAATTTGGGTAATGTGGATATGATCAAAATCACCCACATTGGACTTAAGAAAAATTGGCAGGTACATCTTTGGGATATCCTTGAAGTTCTTCAGCTGCCTTAGTTTGAACAAATTTGTGCAGATCATTTTCAAAAATCCTGGAACTCCCAGGATAAAAATCTCAGCATGTGACTTACAAAAAGTTGGCAGGTATATCATTGGTTTACTGTATGTGCAAGAATGTACACCTAAAATTTGTAAGCATGTAAATTCCTGTTTTTTTCTCTTTTTTCTCCGAATTATTTTTAGTGAAGACTGCGTACAGTTTTCCAAGCTTTGTATCCTTTTCAAGTAGTTGCAACTTTGAGGCTAAACCTACAAACTGCATAAAATTAATATTGATGGAGGGTCTTATTACTGCACATGTAACTTCATACATGTATCTCAAATAATGATGTTAGTTTTGTCTGTTTAGCTCATTGTACTGATTAAAGCATGAGAAGCTCTGACTTATTGACCTTATCAGTGAACAATTTACAATTTTTTAGCATAGTACATGAATGCGCCCATACTACAGTTGTAGCTACATGTAGGTACCAGTAATCACAAGTAACTTACCACAGTTTGTTAAAGATTGTTGTTGTTGTAGTCCTTAACTTGCTAAATCATTTAATTAGACCCTATTGTTTGTATCCCGGCAACATACTTTATTGGTGAGAATGGTTTGCCACTGGAAGTTGTAGGTGGGAGCCTTTCAGTTAATGAGTTTCTTGAAAAGTCAAATAAGGCTTTAGAGGTAAAGATTTACTTGCGCAGAAAGCAATAATTGTTACTAGACTAGGGAAAGTATTACA